ACTACTGCTCAATCTCCGAAAGGGCCAATACACTTTAGGCGCGCACGCGCTCGTCCGGATCTGACAGGGCCTGCTTTAAGAAGGAGACAGCTTTGCGACTTTGAATCTCGCCAAGCGCCCACGCGGTGGTTCGGCGAACCTCGGACTCGGCGTCAGACACCAGCGCCTTGCAGAGAGGGTCGACCGCGCGCTTGTCCTGCACTTCGCCGAGCGCCCATGCCACTGTGATTCGCACTTCGGACTGCGTGTCAGACAATAGCGCCTTGCACAGACTCTCAACGGCGCTCTTCTCCTTCATCTCGCCGAGCGCCCAGGCGGAAAGCTTCCTTACCTTCCATTGACGGTCCGATAGCTGCGCAATCAGTCCCTCCACCGCGCGTTCGTCTCGGATCTCTCCCAGCGCGCGAGCCGCGGCCATTCTCACCCATTCATCCGAATCGTCTAGCAGCACGACCAGCGACGGAACCGCGGGTCCCCGGTCGCCTTCTTCCATGTTCGTCAACTCGCCAATCCCCCACGCGGCGTTGCGCCGGACGCTCGGGTTGGAACTATTGAGTGCAATTGTTAACGGCTCGAGCGCAGGCATCCCCATTGATGCCAGAGCGATCGCCGCCTGTTCCCCCGGCGAAGGCTGCTTGAAGCTGTCAAGCGCCGGGTTCCATCGGCCACTCTCCCAGCAATTCAAAAGTTGTGTCGGAGTGTCGTCGCCGAGCATCGCGACCAGCATCGGTATGGCTTCCACCGGCCCGCTCTTGCCCGCCGAACACGCAGCCGCTGCTCGCTCCTGTGCGTTTGTGGAATTCAACGTCCGCTCCAACTCAGCGCGAGTCACCGGAGTCCTGACTGGATCCTGCTTGCGGGCGTCAGCCTGACCGCGCTCCTGAGCTTCGCCGGCGGCTTGATTAACCGCGGCGACAATTGAGCGCTCGGACGCGCCGTCCATTCGCAGATCAAATGAGAAGGTTGAGATAGCAATGCATGTCAGGCAAAGCAGCGAGAGGGCGCAGAGCGCGAGCAGACGAGCGGCGCGCGCTCCGAATCGCCGCGTGGTTCT